TTTTCACAGTCAGCAGAGGTTTCAAATTCATTCAGATTGATATTATATTATATTATTATCTTCTATATGTTGTGCACATTCAAGAAGATGTAATTTTCAATCATTCCAACATGCCAAATTCAAACAAATTCAAATCCTGAGTTCACATTCAAGAAGATGTAGTTTTCAAATGCTGTCAAAGTTTGCACTTCTCATTTCTGAGCTGCTCAAACATTGGGACCTCGGGGCTGCTTAAGCATCGGAACCAGGACTGCTCAAGCATCATGATGGTGAACGAAGCTGTAACGCAATTGCTTCAAAGAAGGGATGCCGTCTACAATGACCTTAGTGCGTTGGAACCGCATCGGGACCGTTTTTTTGCTCTTTTAGAGTACATGCACCCTGGATTTGTCAGAACAACTTTTATCTTGACTAATTATTATTGCAGTTGTTTGTTGTTGCTGGTGTGCTGTGCTAGTTATGTTGTTTGTTGTTGTTTGTTTAAGGTTGTTCGTTATTGTTGTGCTCCGAGGTCCAACTTCCTGGGCAATGATAAAGTGACGGCTTTATCGAGGCGGTGGCAAAGATCAGACATGAATTCCATCACCTTGATCAGCGAAGCCAATGGTTAGCACTGAGGATTTTCTTGCCGAACTTCCATGGAAGATCGAATGTGATAAGAGTGGGAGATTTGCACGAGGCCTGGCTTCTAAGCATGACTGAAGATAGAAGCTTCGAGAAGTGATGCGTATTAAGGAAGCCCTCATTGCGGCGCACCGACCCCCACCAGCATTGCCTGCTGTTCCGCCTCCGGGTCTAGCCGCCAGTGGTGCCAGTGATCAAGCTCAGCCGTCAGTGGTGCCTGTTGCCTGTCAAGCTCAGCCGCCAGTAGCACCTGTTGCCTGTCAAGCTCAGGTGCCGGCGCCAGTGATGAAAGCGGCCCCGATTGCGAAACCGCCGCCTCCGGATCTTCCTCAAGGCGACGACCAAGGCCGCACTGACACCAACCAAGGCCACACCAACCACCAAGCCGACGACCAAGGCCACCAAGGCGACGGCCAAGATTGGCATGGGGGCTGGTGGAGCCGAAATGATTGGCATGGGGGCTGGTCGAGCTGGCAATGACTCGGTTTGATTTTGGAATAGGCTAGTGAGCAATGGCTTCTAGCCCTCGGAATCTTGAAGCGAAAGCTTTCCCTTGAAGCCTTGAAGCGAATTGGCTTCCAAGAAAGAGATACACTAACTCAAAGAGTTTAAGTGAAAATTGGGAGCAGATGATGTGCGAATCATTTCTGTGTCATGTGAGTTTCTGTTATGTACGTTGTTGCAATTCACGTTACTGACGTTAAAGTACCGTATTTCAGATGCATTAGAATGTGAATGATTCAGTGGTGAACACGTTGATGAATTTTCTGACTTTGTTCTGAAGCTCCTGGCCCTGAGGAACAGGCAATCATAGGACCACGACAAAGCAAAGTCCAAAAACAACACCTCAACTTGGAACCAGTTTCTGATTTTGACAAACCACCACATTCCTGCGGACTATAAGGCTTTGATCAAAATCTCAAAACCATAAAAGCACAAAATCGAAAGAAATGATCAAATTCAATCAAATCCAATAGAATCAAAACATGTATTTTTGAAGCAGGGTTTATTCACACACACATATCACTTGGAAAAACTTAGCTTGGCACCTGCACATATTTGCATTGAGACAGTTCATTTTTCAAAGCCACTTGTCATGAATATAAATGCCAGATGAGGTGAATGTTACATAAACGCAACTACGCCATGAGCGCAATGCGTCCTGGGCCGCAGCCAGAAAAATGGAATGAAAGCGTCTACACCAATGGCAAGCAAATGCTGAGCTGCGATGGTGGTGCGAGCCTGAAGTATGCTGATCAAGTCCCGAGGAGGAGCCAATGGACGTTACTACATTATGAGACCCTCAAACGGTGGATGAACTTGTGGGAGATCGGCGCTCTACAGGCATGGCCTAAGGTCTTGATCGACGAGTTGGCCCAGAACTTCTCAAAGAGTGAGATGGGCGCAACACTGGGCGATGGCCTCTACTGTCAGCTGCAGGGATTATCGGCCAGTTCTCTGACAAATGGGAGAATGTTCCGACTTCAGGCAGATTGCCTGATGCAGTTTACCGTGATGTCTTTGCCCATGGAAGGTCCTCCCTGTGGAACTGACTTCGGCCTAAGACGGCTGTAATTAATAAAACCTTCGCGCTTAGTCGCTGATGGAAAAAAGTTGCACTGCATGGCGTCGCTGCTTGCAAGACTGACAATTGACAATGCCCTGCAAGGCCCTGCTCCGCAGGGCCTTGCAGGGCAGTGCCAAAACAGTCATGAAAAAAACAAAAGTCAACGCAAAGCATCAAATCGCATAGTAGTTGACAATCAATGAACCGCTCTTCCAATCAATAATAAGTGACCCCCACCATCTTTAAGTTCAGGTTGAAGCCATGATGGACGGCGACAACCTTGATGCGAGCTTGGGATGGCCGGATTTGCTGGACTCCTTACAATCTGAGAAAACGCTGCTTGGTCGCTACTTTTGGTGCATTTAGTCTGTCAAACCAGTCATCTAATTTCATGATATAGTTGCTCAACAAGTCTGCTTCAGGAAGCAACGACATGATGAAGTACAGCGAAAACGCGAAGATGAACTATTTGATCGCATTGCGGTTGAAGATTTGAAAGAAAAGGACAGGGGGTTATTATACCTTTTTGGTCCTAGTCTATCTATTAGGACTTTTGATTTTGATTTTGGTTCAGGACTCTGAGAACAAAGTCGTGGACCAACTCTGGCGGAAGTTTGCCAAAATGGAGTTTCCCATGAGTCGGAAACAGTCGGACTCTGAATGCCAATTCAATGATTTTCAATGACACAAATTTAGCTGATGTCAATCAAACGTGATCCGCATGACTTGACCTCTTGGGAAAAAGTGCGCAGTGCGGGGCCTTAGCTGCGCGTTTGTTTTGCAGTGATGTATTTGCAGTTGTTTGTGCAAATCTTTCTCAAATCACCCATCGTTAACAGATTGTTTCCCCTTACACGAAATTGTTAAACTCTATCTTTTCCCTCATATTCAGTCTTCAAGATATCACTTCGCAAAATTTACGTGAAATAGTCAAACACTATCTTTTCCCTCATATTCAGTCTTCAAGATATCACTTGGAAAATTTACATAGTCAAACACTATCATTTCCCCCATATTCAGTCTTCAAGATATCACTTGGAAAAATTTACATGAAATTGTTAGACTTTATCGTTTCATCTTGTCAATTTAGGCACCGGTTTGACAAATTATGACTGAATGCCAAAACAACTTTGGAACAGCAACAGCAGCAACCACTATACAGCAGCAAGAATTGCTGGTGCCGGTGCTGGCGCTGGTTGCCGGGCGCCGGTGCTGGTGATGTGGGCTGGCTGCGCACGTGGTGGAGACAGGTTGCTGGTGCTTGCCGGGCGCCTGCCGGGTGCCGGCGCCGGTGCTGGTGCTGGTTCTGGCGCTGGTGCTGTGAGATGGCTGCGCACGTGATGGAGACAGGTTGCGCTGGTGCCGGGCGTCGGTCCTGGTGCTGGTGCTGGGTGCCGGCGCTGGTGCTGGTGGTGTAGCTTGCACTTGAGGCCGAGGGCAGGTGACGAAAGCTAGCAGGGGTGCATCCGGACTGGTGGGACATCAAGCGGATTGAGGCAAATGCTCAAGAGGTAAAAACGTTGTGAACATGTAAGACACGCAAACAGCAATGACACAGCCAACCTTAGAATTGAAGTCCCCGATAATTAAGGAAGCGTGGCTCCACACTATTCGATGCATCCGATGTGTGTACGAACCTGTGAGCTTGTTGAATCTGTTGCACCGTATCCCAAAACCTCCACGGAGAGTTGAACCAAAGTGGATGCCATAAGAGGTGCCCAAGAGGTGTCCCAGAGGCAAAACAAAGCTGCTTGCATGATTTGTTTGGTTTCTTCTATCAATGTCGATGTCATGAACCTGTGAGCTTGTTGAATCTGTTGCACCGTATCCCGGAGGACAAACGACATCGAGCGCTCGCTCCGGCAGAAACATACGAATGTGCAGAAGGCGTCCAGCGTGAAGTTCGGTCCAACCAATGTGTTCAGCATGGCACATGGAGGTACGAATGCATGCAACAATTCCACAGGACCTATACGGTTGTCCGGCGGACGAGAATCAATGCCAACCTTGCTGATTCCAGGTGCGGCTGCTTTGCCACCTGGTCTCCGTCAGGATCACGATCTGGACGTGCTGAGGTCCAGCCCACTGCAGCACTTCATGCAGCGCCGCAGCTGTCAGCCCGCTTGCATTCCATGTGAGAACGCCGCATCGATTCCTGAGGCATCGGGGTTCAGTCATCCGCCATTGGTGGGCCGGATGCAATGCTTGGACAGGCTTTGTATTCGATGGGGCAAGCTGGCGGACTTTACATGTGTGACATCCTAACGAGGCAGGAGTGACAAGACGGCCATGGTACCAAGTGTACCCCCAAGTCAATCCTTTAGTGATCTGTAAATAGGAAGATGTGGGGTGTTTGTGGCAGGCTCAACAATGTGATCTAACACAGTATGAAGCGCCACTTCAGTTGGTCTCATGACCGACCAACAACCCTTACCTTTCATGCCTGACTGGGTGTGCTTGGAAGGCATCAAAGTGCCAGGCATGCCGCGGACTTGGGACCGCGGTCCAGGCAGGACCTGGTCCACACTAATGCAATTGAGAAGCACAAAAGCTCCAAGGATCGAAAACACAGCGTGCCAGCAGGTCAAGCTCCACATCCAATCGGCCGCACGACGACCGCGGCGCAAGCGCTCAGCGCGCCATCAGAAGGTGACGGAGCGAGCCGGCCGGGGAAAGACCATGGCAGGCCCTGTCTGGAAAAGGCTTAACAACAACAACAACAACAACAACAACAACAACAACAACAACAGCGTGGTGCCTGAGCCGCCAACATCTTCCCACGCCACCCCCAAGCACACATCCAAGACACATAGGCTTCTTCCAGGTTCCGCGCCCACAAATCCATTGATTGATCGGCTCGTGGGAACACAGGGAGCTCCAACCTTGGCTCCGACAAGCTCTCAATCAGCGTGGACGCTCCACATCGGAAAGCGCCCGAACGCTGAGTCGTCGCGTCTGAGGGACAAAGGGAGTAACATGACCAGAAAGATGGTCAGCATGGCAACTCCTGGGCCAACATGGCCAAAGGTTTTTGCAAGCATGGCAACTCCTGGTTTCAGAACGTACCGACTCCTCAAGAAATGGCCGATGATCATTGCTCAAGGTTTCCATAACACTAGTCGGAGTCTTCCCTACAGTATAATGCGCTCGGGTTCTAGTAGCGATGGAAGTGGTGAGCCGTTGTGCCAAGACCTTCGCCTCGAAGCGCGGCTTCTCCGAATCCAGACCTGCATCCGGGTCGGTGTAGTAGTAACAAGTGCCTTACTGGTAGTAACAAAAAGCTATTAATTTTATGTTAATTCGAATTGTTACTACTAGTAAGGCACTTGTTACTAGTAGCGTGGCAGTTGTTACTAATAGCTTCTTGTTCCAGCAATGGAACATGTAGTTCAGTGTTCGGTCCGGGTCGGCTTTTGATCGTCTGCCGGTTCAGCTGCTTCCGTCGCTTCAGCCGTTTCTGCTCTTTCCGGGGCTTGAAACGGTTGAATTTCAACTTCCAACGGTTTACGGTCACACATGGTCTCCTCAAGTTTGATTTTGCGGCTACTTAGTTTGGTCACTATAGTAACTATAGTAGGTTCAGTGACAGGACTAGTGGCAGGATCCCTTCAACTGTCAACAAGCATTTGCCCGACCTATATAATTGCAAGTGCGGCTCACAGTAAGAACTTTTGGCCTTTGCGCTTTTGGCTAGCGCTGTGATCACAACTTATGCAAAGCCCTAGCCTTCCTCATCACCCAACTAAGTACTAAAAATCAATGATCACCTCTCTTATCTGATTCGCGCAGGCTTCACTGGGCTTCGCCTCCTTCTTTGATTAACAAAGAGTAGCACATCACAAGCTTGAAGATGCGGCCAGCGCGTGCGCCCAGCTTGGCTGCTCTGGCCGAGCGGAGCAGCACAGCGTGGATGGCATCCTTGGAAAAGATCCAATCGGGTCCCAACGGCGGGACCATTACTGGTCGAGGTGCCCAAACACACTTAGGGGGGTGGTATAGGCATATGTGTATATACTGTATATATATATAACTATATATATGTGTATATATATATATGTACAAACATGCTTTTTCTGTCTCGCGGGATGCCACAGCAAGCCGCCGATGACAAATCCCAGATTCGGAACTCCCCAGCAAGAAAGAGATTTCGAATGCCATTGACAGTGTGCCAAAGAAGTCCATCAAGCAGAAGAAGGAACAACCTTGGATGAGGCTCAGATCTTAGTACTTAGTACTTAGAAAAGCTTTTCCTCCACATTCAGTACATAAACACATTCCCTGAAAGACTGCCAAGCAGCGATATGCCGGGCTGGCGCACAAATTTACCACCAGCTCAAAGCAGAAGACAATGGTGGACAACACCTTGCGGCGCCTATGAGTACAAATTCAAATCTCTAGCTTCACGTGTCAAAGAATCCAAAACAACTGGGCCCCAGCGACTTAGCTCCAATCAAGCTATAGCCCCCCCAAGACAGCCAGCCCAAAAAGAATACAAACGACATTGAGCTGCAAACCATGATGAAGTCCTTAGCTGGAGCAAGACCAGCGTACCAAGTCACGCAAGTGAGCATGCATAGCTATGCTATGTCTTCCAAGCTGCTAGGAGTGGAAGACCAGGATCATCAGGTATGTCCATCAAGGCAAAGAGGGGGCCCCCAATCAATGCCTCAGACTGGGCCAACCGCGCCCAGTAAAGCTTTGTGACACAAACAGTGACACAAAGATCAAGACTCTGCCAAGTAGCCACCGCCAAAGCGATGCCTATCCCCTGTTTGAAGCAGGGGTTGTTGAGAGCCTTGGCTTTCAGGAATGGTGACAAAGGGCCTGCCAGGCCTGCCAGGCACACCAACATAAGCCGAGTGCGAGCTTGGCGGCTGAGCCTCAAACCATGTTGCTCCATCTTCTCTCGAAAACATGAGTCGGCTGCCTTTGAGGCGGCGTGTGCGAGTCCAACAAACTCGATCCTCAGCACAAAGCCCACAGCAAAGCCACAAAGTCCACCCTAATAGCAATGGAGGCCCCTAGAAGCAATGGCCTCCACCCTAATAGTAATGGCTCCAACCTAGACCAGAAGCGATGGCCCCCACCCTAACAGCAACGATGCAAAATTGAGGTTTTTCGAGCTCTCGACAAGCTGGACAGCTCAACAAACCCCGGTTGGGCAACCCTGTGACAACAAACAAGTGGCGTCCGAGATTGTTGGGCGTCGCCATCGTCGCAACGTCATGGCATGGGGCGGGAATTGCAGGGGCACTGGCAACACGGTGGTCTAGCCGTCAGGTGCTGTCACAGAATGGGTCAGACTGCGCCCCTACCTACAAGACCCTCTTACAAGCGAACTGGGAAGCGAACTGGGAATTCAACACGATGGATCATGCAAATGGCAGCAAGCCAAAAAGCTTCGGCACTATGAACCTCAATGCTTGTCAAAAAAAAATGAGCTCGTTCGATGTTCCAAAGTTGCATCACGTGTCCCCTAAATAAGGGCCTACGGGTCAGGCTTCAGCAAGTACAGTAAGGAATCACTCAATGTGAGTCTCCGGCGCAGGTTTTCACATGGACCCGGAGAAGAGAGAAAAAACAAAACGAGGGCTCAACTGTGCCATCGTCCAAGTGAGGCAGGCCAAAGTTCATCTCAGGCCTCAAACAATGCAACTGGATCTGGTTTTTGGTAGGGGAGGCAAATCCTTGGTGACCGCCACACCGAGTGTTGGAAATCTCGTGTGATCTGGTGTGTACGCTTTAGTAAGTATGCCGACGCAACATGGATCTGGTGGGCGGTAAAGCCCATTCTAAAAAACATGTCGCTGCGGTGAATACAGCTTGCAAGAAGAGAAGTGTCTCCTGGTGTGCTACTGCTCCATCATGTGTGCATTGTTGAAGCTGCCAGTTACAATGAGAATGATCTCATACCATCTCTAAACTCAAAACCGTGAACGGCTCAAATTGATCTATTCAAATCGACTTGGTATTGCAAACGCAAGAATTGACCTTCCTAGGAGAAGGCGGTCGGTCTTCACGTGCAGAAGACCTTGTGACCCATCACCAGCAACCGAGCCTGTCATTGGAGGCCTTCGAGGAAGGAATCTTGGGGCGGTACATGCCGCTCCTGCAAGTCAACAACAAACAAACTCCTGCAAGTCAACAACACTAACTAAATTACTGAAAATATGGACTCAGGATGACTCAGGCACTTTTGATGGACTCTGCTTCATTAGCAATCTTCAACTCAAAGCGCTCTCCAAGCCCCTGCATCTCTGCTTCACACACTCACAGAAACACAGCCACCCGCATTGCCTCAGAGCCCATTCAACCACCATGCGCTCACTCAGCTCCGCCTAGCGGCCCGATCAACGCTTCCGGAGCGACTCATACCGCACGTGTCACTGAGGCATCCGGCGTAGTGTGGATTTTGCTGGAGGAACCTGCCAAGCACTGGGAGACCAACCGGCCAGTTTGGCTGGTTGACTCGTGGGTTGACTCATGGGAAGATGCCAAAAGGAGATGCCAAGCAGCCAGACTAAGAGATGCCAAGCAGCCAGTCCGCCCAATCGAAGGTTCCCTCACCCGGCAGGCAAACCTCAAGGTGAAACATGTCAAGCCCCAACAGCTAAGAATGTTGGGTGACGTTCATGATTGGAGGCTCCTTTATCGACTTCCATTGACCTGGCAGGATTCCTAAGAAGGGTGGCGGGCCGACTTCAGCTGCCTGAGGGCCAGGCTGGAAATACCACTTCATATTGTCCTGCGAGCCAACGGGAGAAACAAACGCAGCCGAATTTGCGTGAGTTTGACTCTTCTGACTCTTCTGGTGTTCGCATTCAAGTCCCTGCTCATTCGTCACAACCATTGCAGGCCCTTGCTGGGCAGCTGGCCATTCCCAGAAGGTGGGCAGGTGACAACCTCCACATCCTCCAGCGCCTGTGCAAGAGGAAAAGCCACTAAAAGGCAAGAGGACATTTTCTAGGAATCCAGGCGGCTTCTTGGAGAGTTTTGCACCTGGGTATTCGTTCATCTTCTTTGGCATGTTTGCAAGAAAATGCAAAAAGTACTGTAAGTAGTGGCTGTCCGAGGCGGTGGCTTGAAAGGCAGGGGCACATGTACAGCAGGTCCAAAGTTCACTTGAACACCCCTGCACTGCCGGTGTTTACTCGGAGTTTTCAGACCGATCTCTTTGTCGTTCTGGAGTTCTGAGAATTTGGCATGTTCTTCCAGGTGAGCGTTGGGAACAACACCTCGCTTCGCAGCCCTCTGACATGCCAAACAGCATGCAATGGGCTGCGGCTACGGGACCAACAAAAGACTCCGTCAAATCAGGGCACACGAACCTTCCCCGCTAGACTTGGTAGATCATTCAGTTTTGGAAGGCTGCAACTTGCACTGCTTCGATATCACCCAATCGACGAAATTCTCCAGCCCATCCCGCCTTTCCCTGCAAAGCCTCTGGCAGCTGTTGTGGCTCAGCGATCCGCTGGCCATCTTTGAACAGTGAGAGGGTGTTGGAATTCGGACCTTGGCAACAGGGAACTGGAGAACAGGCAGAAGAAGTGCCAAGCAGGACCTAGACCTAGAGGTCTTGACGACAAATGCAAGAGAGCCACAAGAATCACAAGAGTAACAAGTGCATCGCTATTGGCAACAAGTGCATTACTACTACTAGCAAGAAGCTACTAGCATCAAGATTGCTAAAATTGAACACGGCGCACAGCCCCAAGGCGCAAAGCTCAACCAATCAGCACTCCAAGAGCCAGGCTACTTGCATCGAGGTTTAGCACCTCACTGCAGCCAAAGGCAGATTCCGATAAAGTGCTCTTTGTCCAACGCAGATCTGAGATGATTGCCTAAGTGCCTGATTCTGAGATGGGCTAAACGGCTAAACGGATCTCATTCCAAGGTGCCACTGCTATGATGCAATCCTGGAGGTACTTCGCCGCAACGGGCACCCGTTTCCTGCCATTCTGATTCTCGAGCCCACGTGAGACGGATTTCGCTGAGCATCAGCCTTCGGCTCATTGTTCGGCGTCCGATTCTCATCTTCCGATCACGAATGATAGTGAAAGCAAACAAAGAAACATCAGAAACCCCAATCCACTCTGCTGTGCTTCACCGAGGTCCTATTGAAGAGAAGAGCCCCGTCAGAGTCGAAGCAAATGCTTTCCTCACAAATGTTGGGCATCAAATCAAGGTTTGCTGATTTTTGGGCGGAGCAATCCTCATTGTCCCCCATGATCGGCGAAGATTTTGCAGTGGAAAACCTGGCACACCCAGAAGAGGGCACCTACCAAAAACAATCAAGAACATGCTCACTCCCTGAGCCTACGAAAGTCGATGCAGCATTGTCAACGTTGCGCGCGGTTGCACGTCAAGGCGCCCGAAGACATGCCGGGTCTCGCCCGAGTCGGAGCATGTGGCGCGGGATAGGGGTCCGGGGCTGCATACCTGCAACATGTTTCGAAGAAACACGGCGCGTGCCTGCCAGCCGGCCGGCTGGGTAGCTACGGGCTCGGCAAAAGCAGCAGCAGCAAAAGTAAGCCGTAATAAGTAATAGTAAGCAGTTGCACTAGCAATAGTAGCCTAGCAGCCGTCGTCGTAGTCGTAGCAGTAGGTGGCAGTAGGTAGTAGATAGAAGTAGAAATAGTAGTAGAAGTAGAAGTAGGAGTATTGGTTTTAGCAGCAGCAGCAGCAGCAGTAAAAACAACGGTAGTTATAGTTTTGGTAGTCACGAGAAAGGTTGCCTGGCTGGCTGGCTGGTTGAGAAATAGCGGACCGTGTTAGGTTCGCAATGCGAAGAAGACTGCTGGTCCAACATGGGGCCCGCTTAGGCTCACCAGCTTCGCTCTGCTGCAGCAGCTCAAGGACTTTCACCTGAAAACGTCTGTCTGCTTTGGAAGCGTCCTGCTCACTTAGGAGTAGCTGTAGCTCTGGCCTGGCCAGTTGACATACATACATACATACATACATACATACATACGACCGACAGACAGACAGACAGACATACAGGCATGACATGACATGACATGACATGACGTTACTTTACATTACATTACTTTACTTTACAAACATACATTACATACACTACATTGTATACATTAAATTACATTACGGCTCAAGCCATTTCAGCTCAAGCTGGTGTGGCGGGACGTTCACGAGGGCACTGGCAACCTTCTTCGAGAAGGTCCCTGAACTCCTCAACGGCACCTGGCAAGTTCTCGCCTTTGGCGGACTACGCGCAGTTCTTCCAGGTGGAGGCAGCCAGGACTATACATGTGGGGGAGACCGTGCCAGGTGTGCACCTCGACAAAGTGTCAAAACTGGATCTGGAATGACAAGCTCAAGTGTGGAGCACAGTGGCTGAAACCGCCTCAAGGCTACAGGGCACAGCCTTCTTCGCGATCTCCTCGAAGGACCAACATGCAACACCTCCCCCTCTCCCCTTCTCCGGGATTGAGAGGACAGAGACCTCCGAAGGTCATCAAGATCCAGAAGGCCACCGCTGAGGTCTTGGCTCCTGCTTGGTCGTCCTTGAACGCAACGATGGAGCAGCAATTGAAGGACCGGAGCATTCCTCCTCCGCCACCTACTCCAACACCTGACCTCAAGGACCAAGGATGCGCTTTTGGAGAACATGTCACAACTCCTACCATCTGTCAGTGACTTGGTGGGAAAGCTGAAGAGGCAAGTCTCTCACCTCAAGGACTTGTCCCACAGGAAGCAATCCTTGCAGCAGAAGATAGACTCCACCAAACGAGCCTATCAAGAGCTTCTCGGGCATCCAAACCAAGAAAGAGACGAAGCAACAGGCGATGACTGCCACAAGCGCATCGTATGTTCTTGGGGAACTCCGCCAAACCGGACTTGGAGCGAAGTTTTGCCCGACGCTGATGCAGCTGAGCCTGTTCCAGCTGCAGTGGCGGGTTTCATTAGCACCCTCGGTGTGACTTTGACCGAGGAACAGCAACTCCAGTTGCAGACGATGCTGAACAGGCCGCTCACTGCTCAGGACGAAGAGGCCAAACGCCGTAAGACTGAAAAACAAGAAGTCAAGTCGTGTGGGTAACAACTCACACACCCAAGAGCAGATTGATGCTTTCCAATACACATGGGGTTTGACATGTCCTCTTCGACGTGTCCAGGGTTTCTCTCTTTGTTCTCAACTTGGTTGCGGGGATCATCACAATCGAGCACAATTCGCCGGCGCAGCTTCAGGCTCAAGTTTGTTTTTTTTTCAGGGTTTGGAGGGCTATGATGGTCCACATTGATTACGCTCTCCGCT